AGTACTGTCCCAGTCATTTATTATAATTCAATTGAAGCATTAATTAAAAGGGGTTAAGAAAAAGTTAAAAGGTGGGAAGAATGGTACTTCCTGCCAATTCTCAATTATCATTTTCTAATATGCTAAATTAACCTTCAATGAAGAAAATGAAGCCTGCAAAAGCCACCTGAATCTAGGCAATTAGGTTATCCATTTCTTCAAAGGCCAGGATTGCTTCATGGAAGCTAGAATATCCTCAAGTGAAACAAATTAAATTAGTGAAAATAAAAAATAAGGCCACAAAAACAAAATTCTGAAACAAAATAATATGGCTTAAAGAATCTGACCTTGATAACTCAAAGGGACTAAAAGTTTGTTGTCTTCCAAATACAGACAAGTTAACTCCTCTTGACTAAAGATAAATGCTTTCTCTTCCATTTGTCATGATGCAGAAATACTTGCTTAAATGTTTGGCCAGATCTAAACCACCTCCCAAAGAAAATCTAGACCAACTTACAGGTGAGAAGGACCTCACCATGTCAAATTCTTCCACCTTTAAAACGCCAATATTAACCTTACAGTCAACACACCTGACAAAGTAATCTGTAGCTCCAACTTGCCTGCTCTCTTAGCAGAGACCAGCTTGAAATAACAGATATTAGAAAAGTAGATTTTAAAAAAGAGGGTTGGGGCACCTGGGTGGCTCAGTTGGTTAAGCTTCTGACTTCGGCTCAGATCATGATCTCACAGTTCGTGGGTTAAAGCCCCGTGTCTGGCTCTGTGCTGACAGCTAGCTCAGAGCCTGGAGCCTGCTTCAGATTCTGTGTCTCCTTCTCTCTCTGACCCTCCCCTGCTCACGCTGTCTCTCTCTCAGAAATAAATAAAACATTCAAATAAACAAATAAAAATTTAAAAAATTAAAAAGGGGGAAATCCATTCAATTATCTAAATCTCCATCAAAAAAGTATGCTTTTGTCATCCATCAGGGAGTAATAAAAGTGTTCCAGGAAGATGACTGTCTTCTTTAAAAAACTATCAAGCATATTGTGCATCATGTTATTCTGTTGTTTAAAAGTTCTTTCTCTAGGGGCACCTGGGTGGTTCAGTCGGTTAAGCAGCTGACTCTTGATGTCAGCTCAGGTTATGATCTCATGGTTCATAAGATCAAGCCCCACATCAGGCTCTGTGTGGACAATGCAGATGTTACTTGGGATTCTTTCTCTCCCTCTCTCTCTGCCCCTCCCCTGTTCGTGCATGTGTTCCCTCTATCTCTCTCTCAAAATAAATAAACATTTTTAAGGTTATTTCTCTAAGAGTGTAGTACTAATAAAAAGTTTCACTCATGTATCCACTTTGTCTTGACTATCAGGAAACTCAAAGCTGAATTTCACGTCCACCTCGACAGCAGCTACCCCTTAGCTTTGGGTACACTACCTCCACCTTTCTATTGCCTTCACTGAAGACAATTCGGTTTTGAAGTGTTGGGGTCTTTTTTCATTCTTTTTCTGATGGTCCAATAATGTGTTTTTCATTGATGCCACCTCAGAATCTTTTTGGAAATGAGAAAGGGCTCTAAATAATTTAATAAGTTAAATTCCCTCTATTATTACTTAATCGGTCCTCACTGTCCCCAAACTCTTCCCTCTCTGTACTCTTGTGCATGTTGTTCACACCATACAGTCCCTGCTATTTCTAGCATTCAACAACTTCTCCCAAAGTCCTGAGGTTGGATAAACCACTCATTTGGCCCCTAACACACTTGTACAACACTACTTTTTTCATGTGCATTGTCTTAAGTTCCTCAAAGACAGTGATATCTCAGTGGGCAATGAGTAAATTTAAATATCTTTATATTCCCACCAACATCAAAACAAGCCTTGTACCTTACAGACACAGAACAAAGATGTGTTGTTAATGAGAAAAGTCAACATTTTGAAAGCCCACTATGTGGGAGATAATATACTGAAAAGGCTTCTATGTTGAAGCAGTTTACAAACCAAAGAACTAAGATATGTAAATTACCTATATAGCCAATAGGGGTTGCATATATGTAAATACAAAGAAAGTTCATGGAATGGCTGCATTTGGCAAGATTAGTTACAGTGCACCGAGGCTTTTAGGAGAGTGAAAAGGAGTACAACTTGTGAGGGCATTCAGCCACAAAAGGACTCCAATGAGGTATTAAGAGACAGTATTCACACAACAGCAAGAACAGTTCCATATATGTAGTAAAGAACTACAAACATCGTTAAGACAATAGAGGTAAGCTTTGGGGATGGCTGGCAGAGGGCCTAAAGGCAGCAAAGCAAAGCCAGAGCCTGGTTTTAAGGTGACTTAATGAGGTAAAAACTTTAAAAACTGATTCACAACTACTGTATTAAGAACAGACAGGAGGGCTAAAGCTAGAATATGAAGCTTGATGGTAAATACCAGAGATACTTAGCAGACAGAGCACCAAGGCTATCTGCACTCATTCTCAAGTGGGAATTTGGGACGACCCACTTAAGAGCCCATCATAGCACAACTGCCACAAATGACCTAAGGGCAATGGTGTCTGCCTCACCTTCTTGAATATGAGACCTCTTCTTAGAGTAAAACAATCTCTTTCTCACTCTCTAATACACACGCACGCACGCACTTGCACACACACACACACACACACACACAGAGAGACCGAGAGAGAGAGAGAGAGAGAGAGAGAGAGAGAGAGAGAGAGAACTATATTTTAATGTGTGAAGCCTACCACAAAAGCAGTAGTAACAAAATGGGTCTAAGCAACCTCTCGGTTCAAATCTCAGCTCTGACACTTATTGGGTGTGCATTCCCAGGGAACATTCTTAACCTCACTTAGGCAGGTTTAAATTGGGAATAAATTACCTGCCTCTAAGGTAGGGATATAAAATGTTTAGCAGGGTGAGTGGCTCAGTAAGCTCTCATTGAGTATTATGTTTTTAAATGGACAATAATGTATAGATTTTCAGACGTCTTGTATAACTCCAGAGTCCTCTGGAGATCCTTGATACCCAGGTGGGGAGTCACTGCCCTAGAAGATAAATGCACTGTATAGCAGAGCAGTCCATTCACAAGGACTTAATGTGGTAACTACAGAGTTCAACACTGTGCCAGGGGCTATAGAAGCCAACACAGCAACTCAACATGGAAAGGGATAATGCAGAGGTTAAATGTTGAAGGAAAGCTTAAAACACTGGTGCTGAGAGTAAAAGTAGCGTGAATCCCAAGTAAGAGTTTAAAGTCAGAAATTAAATGGTGAACCAAAAGTGTCTGAACACATGTGTAAAAAAGACTTCCCGGTGGCAGCCTACAGGACAAACTACAGTAGGGGGCCACTTCTGTACCTCCCTTGCCACTCAGTACCAACCAGATTACTGTGTTCAAAGCTCTCAACAAGCTTTTTTTTTTCTAACCTGCATTGATTCACAGTGCTGATCACTTAAATTGGTATAAACCATAGCAACAGAGTTACATTAACAGCTTAACTAATTTCTTAATGGTATTAAAAAAAAAAAAAAACCTCTACCTTCAGGAGTTCATATAAGCTCAGTAAACATTTGAGCTTCAGATCTAGTCTAAGAAATTGGAAGAGTCCTCAGCATTGGGGAGGGAGGGACTATGTAGGCCATGACCTGGAAGCATATAACCTCTTGCCTAAATTTAATAGTTCACTTCCTCAACCTCAAATCCTTGTCTTACCCACCTCTTCCACCAGTTTTCAAACAGTTGTTTACTGTAACTGCCTTAAACACAGTAAGCTGCCTGAATCAGAAACTAATCAGTTATCCAGCAGTTAAAATTGTCTAATACTCTTTGACTCTACATCTGGCCAATTCCAACTTCTTTTCTAATGCTAGAGTGCTTTGAGGGCAGTCTAAATCCCAACTTGACACTTCTAGTTGTTTTATTTCAGGCAAATCAAACCCCATGCCACTTCCCACATCTGTAAAGTGAAGGTTAAAAAAAAATCACCTTCAAAGAGTACTTGTAAAAACTAAAAGAGTTAATATTAGTCAAGTGATCGATATATAATAAGCACAACATTTATTAGCTGTTATTATCATCTTCATTACAGAGTAATATTAGCCACTACCAGGAAATCTCCAGAAATACTGTTTAGAAAAATACATGGGCAAAATTATTCCATCACCAATGAATCTCACACAGCACAGCTTGGTTAGGTAACAGTGGTCGGGTTCTACCTGTTGCAACATCTCTTAAGAGATGACAGAAACAGCCACGCTCAGCCTGCACAGGGGGTTCCAACATGCAGGACAGCTCCTCATGATTATCTCACTCAAGGAACTCCTTTTGCTTACAGATAGAACCCTAGCCTAATTTTTGGACCAGTCTGTCACATACAGTTCAAATGTGTTAACATGAATCTCAGAAGCTTGTGTGTTTAAAAAATATTTATGAGGTGTATTCATTAAAAACAACAACAACAAAAAAACATTTCCTGGTCTGTTGACTCCACGGCACTACTTTCTTTTATTTTGTCTTTTCCGGCTGGTAATCTGGTTGAGCGGGAACGAAAAGCGCAAGAACTCCCCTGCCTCCCAAGCATTAGCAGGTAAGTGGCCTTGGCCCTTACACGGAAATACAGCAAGTTGACTCCACACACACTCTCACGGAAACCCAGTCCTTTTCCCTCCCCCAGCACTAGGATCTCTACAGAACTAAACTGGAAGTGCACCCTAGAGAGCTTGGAGAAACAAGCGCTCCAGTCGCGGGCCGGACAGGTGAGAGAGCGCAGTCTTGCTCAGGTTTGAGGACCACATCCCAAGCAGAACACACGCCCCCAAGGGAAACCTAGAAGCATCCAAGGCATCCAGCACACTCCCCACAAGACACATCTTGTCTCCGACCTCTCCGACAAGCCACACTGGAAACCTTCCGGGATGCCCAAAGGCTGTTCCTGGAAACGCGGGCAGCCCCGAGCGCGGGGCGAGGCGTACACGTGCCCCGGCAGCAGCAGGCCCGGCTCGAACCCCCTCCTCGGCACTCACCTGCCCCGTGATGCCAGTGATGAGCGCCACCTTCCTGGGCTTGCCCATCTCACCGTCCCCGGAGCCCCGAGCGCTGGGGCAGCGTACCGCCGCGTGTGCCATGTCGCTACGGGCGTGCGGCAGAAGGCTGGGCGGAGCGGAGGCCAGTGGAGAGAAGGCAGCGGCGCCTAAGGGACGTGGGGGTGTGCCGGCGCGCAAACCTCCTCGCCCAGGCTGCAGGGAAAGAGCGCACCGCGCGGCCTGCCGCCACAATCTGACAGGGGCGCTGGGAAGCCGGGCGGGGAGGGCCGGGGGCGGGCCGAGGCGGGCCCCACGGCCGGGCGGCGGGGCTGCGGCCTGGCTGGCGCCGCGTCATTCGCGTCAGCCCGCGACGCTCCCTCGGCGCCCGCGGCAGGCCCCGCCCCCCGCCGACGGCCGCCGCGCCACGCCACGCCCCCTACTCTGATGGCCGCGCGGGCTGGGAGGGGTTGGGTGGGGCGCTGGAGGGGCGGACGTGCAACCAGGCTGTGTCGCCTCAACCCGGGGTTGATACGCAACTTCAGGAAGGGAACTGTTACCCGGTCTTTACGCCAGGCCAGTCCCTTGGCAGGGCCTGGTGTGGAGGGGTTGGGCCGTCAGCGGCCTAGACTTCACCATCTTACCGTCTTTGGAACCCCTATCTCCTGTCTTCCGCCCCTCTGAATCTCGTAAGGCTGCTAAGAGTACCTGAGGATGCTGAGGGGAAGTATGGACTCATCTTTAAGTTAGGAGAAAGCCTTGAATTCCAAATCTAGGCGTCACAGGGCCTGGGGCCATTTGCCTTAATAAATAATTTATGGAAACCTGTTGCAGTGCCTTTTGATGACTTTGGTTTTATGTGTCCTGAAGGACACTAACGTTACAAGGACCCTAAATGGTGTCACAGATGTGAGTTAAGACTAACCTCACCTGTAGCCTGGCTTTCTGGCTCTTATATTTCCATGAAGCTTGGAACCAGGCACGAGGTTCCAAGTAACTGGATTCAAAGTATTCTAGTTCAGAGGACTGGCAGAGTACAAGAAAGTCTGGCCTCACTCATGCGAAGCTTAAAGAAATGTTGAAAAGACTGCAAGATCCTATAAACCTAGACATGGCCAATTTCAAAAAATAATCATTCAAATGCAAGGTGAGGTCCTAGCTTGATGTCTACTGAATTGGCTTCCACCAGGCACCCACACCTTGGGCAGAGAAGAGCAGAGGTGACTCATACACTGGGAGGGCAGCAGGTGTGTTCCTAGGCAGTTGACTGGAATCCACAGAAGAGACAAAAACTTCTCTGTCCCCACTGCTCTGCTTATCTGCACTTATTCCTCTCCACAGTAAATCACCTCAGATATTCACTTCAAATCATAAAATGAGTGACTAGGAGAGTGCCCAATCTATCATGCAAATTATTACAGACCTCAAATCCCCAAATCAGAAAAACTCAGGTTTAAAATAAAAATCTGAGGGGCACCTGGGTGGCTCAGTCGGTTAAGCGTTGGACTTCGGCTCAGGTCATGATCTCACCGTTCATGGATTCAAGCCCCACGTCGGGCTCTGTGCTGACAGCTCAGAGCCTGGAGCCTGCTTCAGCTTCTGTGTCTCCTTCTCTCTCTGACCCTCCCCTGCTCATGCTGTCTGTCTGTCTCTCTCTCTCTCTCTCAGAAATAAAACATTAAAAAATTTTTTTAATAAAATAAAATAAAAATCTGCTTGTCCCCTAGGTTCCTCAGAAATACTCCTTAGCTTTATAGATAGACTTGTCTTTGGTTTCACATTTTGTCTCTTATCTATCCATTCTATACAGAGAATGACTGAATATGGTATTACATGCAGTAGCAGAAGGCTGCCTCTTGAATGGTTAATGAAGAGGCCCTGATGCACAGAATAGCGAACACTTTCATTTACGGGAACTCACTATAAGCAAGAAATGTCTTTGATTTACTAAATTATCTTAAAAACTTATGTTTGTTTTAATATAAATATGCTTCCAAATACATTATTTAACATTTTCCCCAAAATTGCTGAAAAAAAAAAGGTTACTCACAGAGGACATACCAAGTTTTTCCTGCAGCTGTGAGACCTCCTATCACATCACTGAATACTGGACATTTGCCTTTCCTAGCATGACAGTAGAAGTATGACAATAGAAGACCCATAGAAAATTGATGACATTGTATGTCCTATAAATAAAATAATTACAAAATATTGAGGGAAATTGTAGTTCTGAGACACAGTGGAAGGTTTAAAAATCAAGGATATTTCCCTAGAAATCTTCTCTGATGAGAGGCAGTAGGGCTGTATATTGGTTTGCTAGGGTTGCTACAACAAATTACCATAGATTGGGCCTAAACAACAGAAATTTACTTCCTCACAATTCTGAAAATCCCAAATCAGGGATTGTCAGGGTTAGTTTCCTCTTCAGCCTCTCTTTTTGGCTTTTGTAGGCCATCTTCATGTTCATGTAGCGTTCTCCCTGTACATGTGTCTGTCTAAATTTTCTCTTCTTATAAAGGACACCACTCATACTGGATTAGGGCCCACTCAATATGACCTCATGTTAGCTTAACTACCTCTGCTGTGACCCTATTTCTAAATAAAGTCATAGGCCAAAGTATTGGCAGGGAAGTTGTCTTCAACATATGAATTTGGCAGGGAAACACAACTCAACCCCAAAACAGGTCCTGTTGACTCAGAACAAATCTCTGAGGAGAATGTGCTACTTGACCAATGGTAATATCTCTGAGTTCAGAGGAGGTATCCACTGGCTGATTTTGGTTCCTGGTGAGAGCTCTCTGGATAATCAAGGACCATCTTCTTGCTCTGTCCTTACATGGTGAAGAAAGAGACATCATCTCTCTACTGTCTGTACTCTCAAGGGAAATAATCTCATCACGAGATCTCTCCCCTCATGATGTAATTACCTCCCAAAGGCCCCCATCTTCAAATATCATCATATAGTGAGTTAGGGCTTCACCATATGAATATTGGGAGGATACAATTCAGTTCACAGGATCAACCATTCTATACTTAATACTTAATATGTTTAATAAGTATACTTGATATACTTAATAATATGCTTAATAAATATACTTAATACTCAATACTTACTATGCTGAACAAGTTTTTTCACATCTTTATTTCTTGACATTGAGGAGATGTGAAGTATTCAAAAATAGGCCTCTGCTTTCACCTCCAAATTATCTCTTCTTTTTTAATCGTTCTTTGCTTTTAACTTATGGAACATTTGTAATATTCTTTCACCATACATCAGGTTAGAAAACCAATATTAATGACTAGCATGTCTTAAGTGAGTAATAAGGTGTGCCCAGCACTATGCCATATCTCATTTATAATTATCTCTATTTGATAGAAAGTGGGGACCAGAAAGGTTAATAAACTTACCTAAGGTCACATAGCTAGTGGCTGGTTATGGTAGATATCATGATTGACTCAATCCCCATTCCATATTCTATTTTAAAAAATTAAATGCTAAAACCCACATTTTTCAGATCATTTTGCTTCTGATGTTTTGGAAGCAAATTGAGTTCCACGAATCAGATGTATTCCTCCTCAGTCTGGTAGGTGGAGGTAAAACAAAAGCCATTTTTCTACTTCTGGCCAAACTAACCTAGAGTTTTGACAACTAGTCTCCAAGTTTGGGTCTAGTCACACAAGCTTCATGAGAACAACAGCCAGTGGGGTGGCAGCAACAGCAGTTTCCTAAATTCTAGCTTGGAGCTATGGTGGGATGCCCTTGACATCAACAGCCTAGTTATGGCCCTCTGGCTTCTGTTCCTCCAACCCTTACAAAAAGGTGGTTTGGTTTTTTTTTTAAGTTTATTTATTTATTTGGGGGGGTTGGCGGCAGAGGAAGAGGGAGAGAAAGAATCCCAAGCATAAGGCTGAAACCCAGGAACTGAGAGATCATGATCTGAGCCAAAATCAAGAGTCAGACACTTGATTGATAATTGACTGGGCCACTCAGGTGCCCTGCCCCCCCACTTACAAAAAAGTTTTTAACTGAAGTTTTTATTGAGATAATTAAACAATTTGAATGTATTTGTAAGAAATAACACAGTGTTACCCTTTACCCAATTTCCCTCTTTATCACCTCCTCAGAAATTACAGTGCACTATTACAAGCAGGATATTGACATTTATACAATTCACTGGTCTTATTCAGACTTCCCCAGTTATACTCATTTGTGCACGTGTCTGTGTTAGTGTGTATGTGTTTATACAAAGCCTTTTATCACACATGTTGTTTTATTTGACAACCACCAAAGTCAAAATGCTGAATAGTTCTGACATGGATGCCTCATGTTGCCCTTTTACACCACCCCTAATCCCTGGAAACTAATCTGTCCTCCACTTCCAAAGTTTTGTCATCTCAAAAAGTATCATATGTGGAATCATACAGCTTGTAATCATTGGGAATTGGCTTTTATCACTCAGTTTAAGTCTCCTGGAGATGTATCAAAGTTATGTATATCAATAGTTTGTTTGGTGTTCTCAATGTTTAGAATTATTTCATGGTATAGATGTACTGTAGTTTGTTTTTCCATTTACCTATTGAAGGATATGTGGGCTGTTTTCATTTTGGGGTCGCTACATATAAAGCTACTATGAACATTCATGTACAGTTTTCTGTATGAATATAGTTTTAATTTTGCCCAAGAGTCCAATTGTTGTGTTGTATGTTTGTTTACTTTTTTTAAAAAATGCCAAACTTGCTTTTTTGCAAAAAGTTTGTAAACAAAATTTCTCACACTAAATCTTTTTCTGCTTGGAATATCAATGGTAGTGTCTGTGTCCCACTCTACATGCTGGCTGACACAGCAATAGAGATTAGACACAAAATCCAGACTCGGGGCTTGTAACTAAAGCTGAAAGACTAATGAAATGGTTACTTGTGTGTGAATATGATTGAGAGAGAAGCACTGTAGTAGGGAAAACATACAAAGCAGAAGTGGAGACCATTTCCTTTTTACTTTACCGCCACTTCAGTATTTATACCAGTTTTCCAGTTCAGGAAACAAGCAGAATAGAAGTAGTGACTTTTTAGGTTAGATCTTATAAAATCCGACTCTATTGGAGATAGGACAATTTATGATCTCTGTGTTTCATTATGTTTCTCTTTGGAATAATACTAAATTGTGTGAGTCTCCTTCCTCAGAATTCATGGCAAAAGCAGCAGAGTTTTAGAAACAGAATTGGAAGGTGACGAGATAGCTCTGAAACTTGTAAGGACTTCCTGAAATCCATCACCTC